CGGACCAGAAATCTGGCACAAGCCAGCATGGACTCGCACAAAGGAAGTGGAGTTGAACCATCAACAAAAAGCTGTCCCACCCCTTACAAATTCAAATTTAAAGCGACGTCCACACTTCAGGGAAGCTGCATCCCAAGGGGAGGAGTTGTCCGCTGTCCATTTATCTACCACAGCATCATTTCACGCATGAAGCGTCAAAACCGGCCACCAAGCATCAGTGTCCTGAGCCTATTCCTCCAGGGGCCGGGGGAGGCAAGCAGCAGGACCGAACCCCACATGGTCGGTTACATTGACTGCGTATGTGAAATCAACCCCTAAGGAGCTGCAGCGATCTTCCACTATGCACTGAAATGACAACTCACATGCACGCTGGATCAACCACTGAACCCCTCAGCCTTTCAGCTCCTGGTGCTAGCACTGGACTTGATAGTCCTCCAGACACGTTGTTGCGCCACGAGAGCTAGCATGTCAGGAAGTCGCCTGCTGCTGGTGTAGTCATCACGATCCACAGTATCGAGGTAGGAGTCCGCAGGACCATAACCGGCCAGCGCGGTACCAATTGACAGTCGCAGGGCAGAAATGCCGCCCCCACAGCATCCACCCAAACCGGAACGGAACGGATGAACCCCAAAGCAGTGCTGCTCGACATAGTGTAACGCAGAGCCCAAGTCGCAGTACTTGAAGTCGTGTTGACCGAAGTGCCTGTAGTGTAGTGCGCCTCGTCATGTTTCTTGTTATTTTCCTTGTCCTGATCATGTAATTAAGCATTGTCCTCACGAGCTGGCACTGTCCGGCACGAGCGTGTGCATCTCATGAGTCAAGGAATTACAAGCAACAAAACAGAGCCACGTGCAGCAGCAAACATGTGGCCAAAGCATTGCCATGCCAGTTACAATGCACGTCTGAGCAGGACATAAGGCTTCCGTCACGGTGCTTTCAACCGTCTCGCGTCCCTTGTCGCTGAACCTCAGACGTACAGCCTTCCAGCTTGTGGCCATTGCACGCGCACTGGAACTTCTAGCATTCCCGCTAGTGGGTCATCTGAGCCCTACATACGCACATGCATACATACACTTTGAAGACCACCTTTGGAACGCCAGCATCTTCAAAAACCCAGCCGCAAACTCCTCTACCGTGTAGTAAGCTAGCTTGTCCTCCATGTTCAACATGGCCACCTGACGAGCCTATCAACATTCCTGCCCTGTGCAGGCGATTTGGGCCTGACATGCATACATGCATACATGCATNNTGCATACATGCATACATACATTCATGAGTACATACATACATATACACGTATACAGTATACACATGCTTAGAAGCGTCGCTCTGCTACGATCATTTACCATACACTCTCGTTCTTTCGTTGTTTTTGTTGTTTTTGTTTCTCTCTCTCTCNNTCTCTCTCTCTCTCTCCCTCGCCATTGTTTTTGTTAAAGGGCGGCCCTACAGTTGAACTTCTGGGGGTTTTCAAAGGTCGAAACCGACCGAGACCACCTGGCCTTGATCCGGGCCCTGGGAAGGCAAGGTGCGTGGGCGGCCTCCTTAGAGGTGCCTTGGGGTCGTTTCCTTGAAGTGAGACGTAGGGCAAGAGTGTGTCAAGGCCTTCAAATTTTGGGGCATGAGTTTTGCAAGGAGGACCCTCGTACTACGTCGAAGGAACCAGGCTGGAGAATACGCTTGGTGTGGGCTTCGTTTGAACCTTGTGGCGATGGCACAGGGGCTCCGTGGTGCTGCGCAAAAACCTATAACATGGACCTAACTGCACAGCCTGTACAGAATCCTTGTTGCAGAACCCTTAACGGACCTTTGCTCGACAGGTCTTTGAGTCCATGCAGAAGGCCCAGCTGCAACCCAGCGATTTGCACTGCACCGCGCTGATGCGGGCCTGCACAAAAGGCACTCCGGTTGGTTTAGGGTTCAGGGCTTAGG